GTGTGATTTTAAATTCCCTCTACCCTAGAGAACAAAGCACTCACCAGCAAAGATTATTTTTTAAAACCATGAACTCTTCAGAAATTCAGTTCATTGTGGGATTCTTACTGCAGTTCTCTGGTATTACCTGTCTTGTGTTCTTAGCAAACTCTATGACAGGTATTTGATATCTTTCCTAAATTCTCAGATATCTTTATTGCTGACCACGTAATTGAACAGATATGCAGATATCCCAATGCTCATTTTCTTAGTGCACATTTTTAAAAAACATTTATTTGTCTGAGTTGCTTTATTTTTTTATTATACCAGATGCCAATTGCAATTGCTGAGCACACTACCAAAGGCATGCGTCTGCAGTCCTCTGCTAAGAGATTAAATTAAACCATGTAGAAAATGATGTGTTCTAAAAGGACAATATTTTTGTGAACATCTTTGTTTTTATTGTCTGGTTAATTGTTGACTGAATTTCCCCCAAGGCTGTGAAAATGCAACAAGTAATGACTCAGAGAAAGAAGTATCAGGAAAAATCATGACTTGGTTTGGGAATATTCTATACTTGTTATGTTTTGAGAAGCTACAGCAGTGCCTGATAGGGTCCCACGCAGGGACTCAACTCTGGTACCCACTCTCCATCTTCCCTTTTTAAATTAACATGTAATTTATATGCAGTAAAATGGACAAATCTTTGAGTGCTTAGTTCAGTGGCTTTTGACCCATGCGTAATCCTCACCCAAAACGAGATTCAGAACATTTATGTCACCTACAAAATTTCCTTACCTCTGCACAGTTCCTTACCTAGGACAAAGACTGTGATGGCTACATCCCCAGCCCTTTTTATCTTTTATTTTAAAGCAGGGCCTTGCTAAGTTGCTGAGTCTGGCCTCAAACTTGTGAGCCTCCTGCCTTAGCCTCCCCAGTGACTGGGATTATAGGTGTGTACCACTATGCCCACTCGTGCCAGGCAAGTGCTTTACCACCAAGCCATGTTGCAAGCCAAGAAACAGTTTATTTTTTATGATTCTAAAGTAAAACATCTATAGGCTCCAGCTGATATTATGCTTTATATTTATTTCTGGCTTTTCTTCCCCTCTTATAAAACTAGCATTCTGGGCAATTTTTTAAAAATGTACTAGTTTTAATAAAATGGTCTCTTTATTCTTTCCCACACTGTCACAGTTAATTTGGACAAAATCAGTCTGTTACTGTGAGAATTGCTATTCAACTAAAAATGTATTATGATCTGCTGCACACATAAAAATTGCATTATAATGAGTAAAACTGAGCTAAACATAATTGTGCCTATACCAGAACTGTGACAGGAAGTGTCTCATAACAGTGGTGATTTCCATATCAGTGATAATTCTATTGTCTGATTGCATTGTATTCTCCTTGCTGCCATATTGATGCACAGAATGTGTCCATCCATTCCTAGGAGATGCAGATGCAAAAAAAAAAAATAGTTAACTTCCTTTCTTTCTTACTTATTCCTTGAAAAGTCTTAAGTAATTTGAAAGTAAAAAAAGTAATAGCAGCCAAATTCTATCCCACAAAGTTGCTCCTTCCTTCCTTCCTTCCTTCCTTCCTTCCTTCCTTCCTTCCTTCCTTCCTTCCATCCTTCACCTAAATCCCTTTATAAGCTTAGGTACTTGTTAGAGGTATCTTATGAGCACATCTTTGTGGCCTCAATGTTTAGAGCAAAAGCATTCAATCATCCTCTGCCTTTGGCCAGTGCCTGCTGGGTTATAAGGGCATATTGTCATTGCTAAAGTGGCCACCTGGAAGACAGATGAGCTTTACTACTTCTCAGAAGTACAGATGGGAAATAGGAAGGGAGAAGTCTTCTCCTACTCACAGGTGCATCACCAGATCATCCCTTCAGCCCTTAAGGGTACTTCATGACGTAGGCTTCTGGGCGAGATCAAAAAGCATGAAAGTTACAAACACATTCATTCTATAAGGAACTTCGCCTGCTTTTCTGGTCCTTTCCCTTTGATCTCAACTCGGGACTATTTACTGAGTATTTGCTGTATTTAGGACATTGTACAGGGAGCTAAGGACGTAGCTCAGTGGTAGAGTGCCTGCCTAGCATCTGATAGGTCCTGGGTTCAATTCCTAGCACTGCACACACACACACTCACACACACACACACACAAATATTGTGCAAGATGCTGAGGGATTAAAAGGAAAGAAAATAAATGAAAACTTCTGGAAATCACATTAGGAAGAATGTGCCCACAGTGGCGTATGGCTTATAGCAAAGACAAATCTATATTGATTTTTCAAAGCAAGAGCTGCTACAAGATATCGTTACAGACGTATAGGTTTTTAAAACCAAAACAACTACACATTCTTACTATACTTTCCATGCTTATAAAGTCTAGAAAAGCACTTCCTTCATATCGTAAATTCCACTTTATCAGAATTTATACAAATACCCAACTGTGCATGGATGCAATTTAAAAGATAAACACCTCTGTTTTATTTATTTATTTTTATGTGGTGCTAAGGATCAAACCCAGAGCTTCGCACGTGCTAGGCAAGTGCTCTACTGTTGAACTACAACCCCAGCCCTACATAGATGCAATTTTGGCAGTTGCAAGTGATGGCTGATTTACAGCCCAACTGATTCTTGGGTATTGGTGGCAAGTCTGGCCTTAAGTCTGGAATTGCCTGACTTACAGCTTCTCCTCACTCCTGAGTTGTGTGAAGAAAATTGACTTCCTCTGATTTCTTATACATGTGTATTCTTGAGAAAGAAATCTTTTTTTTTTTTTTTTACTAAATCTTGGGTAGTTTTAGAAATATATGAATTCTTGCATCTAATTGCATTTGCACAATAAAGTTTTCTCAACTAAAAATTTCTCTCTCATCTTTTTTCAACATTGATAGCATTGACACACCTTGAGTGTTTAGTCCATAGAGGGTTGGAAATGCCAATTATGATCTTTAGAATAGGGCACGAGATAACTTATTTAGATTTAAGGAGGACCATAAGGAGAAGTGCTTAAAGTGGGTGTTATTTCTAGGTAAATTTTTAATGACTTCAGTTGAGAATAGAGGAATCAGAATTCTATGGATTGGGTTAGAAAAAGAGGTGGGCTTGGAAAATACTGAATGAATTTCATGGTAAAGTTTTAGGCCTGAAGCTCCTGGGTTTGGTATCAGGAGCTAGGTATGGGCAGGGCTGAAGCTGGAATTAGAAGCCCCTTACTCCCCTTAGGCACTGGAGACATTTCTATGCAGGACACATTCAGCTCTCTCAAAAGGGTCCAAAGCATTTCCCATCTCAGGTTCTAAGTTAGAGGACCAGGGTGGATCCAAGAAGCAGGAGTGAAGAATTCTGAGTCATAAAACCCCACTTTGAATATTGGGAAGACGAGCCCTAGAAAATTGGAGTAAAAGTGCTCTTTCAGGTGCATATTAACTTCAGTGAAACAAGAAACTTGATGAAACTTTGAAGAATGAAACTGAAAAGATTCTTGGGGAAAAGAGATAGTAAACAGTAATTGAATGGACTGTTTACAACACACAAAATGTTTTATATATTTTTTTTTCTTTTTTCATCTGAAAGCATTTATAGGTTTACTTCTGACTCCACTTACCCATAGGGTCTTTTCTTCATCTGCACATCATATCACCATGGAGCTCTTTGGATATTGGCCCCTTGAGGATGTGGGTGTCACTTTAATTATAGGAAAAAAGAATATATGAAATAAATAAATCGATAAACACAAACTGCTGTCTCAGGTGGGCTTCGTTCATCATTGGAACCTTTTAGCAAAGAAAGGGTGGTTGACTTGTAGCTAATCAATCTTTGACACAATTCATGAAAGAAATTCTCCCCCTTTCTTTTTTTTTTTTTAAATTTTTTATTGTGGGTTGTTCAAAACATTACAAATTTCTTGACATATCATATTCCACACTTTGATTCAAGTGGGTTATGAACTCCCACCTTCACCCCATACACAGATTGCAGAATCACATCAGTTACACATCCATTGATTTACATATTGCCATACTAGTGTCTGTTGTGCTCCGCTTTCAATGACTGCAGACTTTTGCTTTCTTCTCACACTCTCTAGCTGTTCACCTCTCCTCTTCCATGGCTTTTCTTCCATTGTCCTTTTGGTCTCCGTGATCTGTGCCTTCGGTTTATTGGCGCTGCTTAGCCCCACAGAAGTTCCTTCATGTTTGCTGCAAACAGTCCCACACAGAGAATTATTTGGGTTAAGGAAAAAGGGGCACTTTTCTCCTGAATCATATGTAGTTGCGTCCCTAGTGTCTTTCCTTACAAAAATAGGCACTTCAAACATTTGATGGCATTGATCTTTCTTCTTTATTTAGATTGAATCTTAGATGTACTTTTCATAGTGTCTAATAATCCATGATTGGATTGATGACCTGGGGGAGGTATCATAATGGAAATGCTCCCCCATGCCTTTGGAGGATCCTAAAAGAGCTTGTGCCTAGTTCCAGAGGGTGAGGCAGGTGGGAACATGGATGGAGTCCTGAGTGGACTGCCATTCTTCATCATTAAGGGGACTTCATCTCTCTCTCTCCGTGGTGTGGCTTTGTCTAATACCAGTTTTCCTTGCACCTACAATGGTGCTGAGAGACTTCGATAGCAAATATTTTAGGAAAAAAACAGAGAAATTTTTGCTAAATTGGTACATGCTATATTCCTTAGAGGTGCAATTTTTTTCCCCCCAGCAGATTGTTTAGGTCTTAGTTACAGAGCATTCTTGCTATCTCGAGTCCTTTTTATCCAATGGTAGCTTGTAGACCTACTCCTTCTTCTTTCTTTTTTCTTTTTCTTTTTTGTATTTGTGGACTGAATGGATCCCATAGCAGGTGTACAGCTGGAACTACTGATGTTACTTCTGCATTAAATATTTATAATGCCATTTTACGCATTTCAAAATATGTTCTAACAGGCTTTAGGTGCGACAGAGGGAGAGAGAGGGGAAATGGGCATTAAAAATTGAATTCTTCTTCCCAGGAAACCTTTGAGAAGGCCAGTTTGAGTAGCAGCAGCAGTGGCGCAGCCAGCCTGAAAAGTGAGCTCTCTGAAAGTGCAGACCTGCCCCCTGAAGGCTTCCAGGCCCCCTGTGGGAAGGACGAGGACAGGGCCTGTGATGAAATCCTGTCAGATGATACCTTCAACCTGGAGCATATTGAGAAAGGTGCTTCTGAGGCCAGTGTGTCAGCATGAATTACACTCTTGACTTCTTTCTGGTTCAAGGTTCATTTGCTTTTTTTTTTTTTTTTATTTTTACTGATGTGCAGATATATATTCAGAGCTGGATGATGAGTTGGATGTTTCGGATAACTCCAGCGGCTCCAGTTCGAGCCCTTTGAAAGAGTCGACCTTCAGTAAGTTTTCTGTACAAGTTTGCTATTTGTGGGATCCCAACAGGTATTGGTTTGGGAGTTAGACCCAATGCATAGCCTGGGTTTGTTTTCCAGGTGTCTTGCTAATGAGGACAGGCGCATCTGTCTCTGACAGAGCCCAGAGGCCAGCCAGCACTGTGGTTTACATTTCCTCCGCTGTCAAAGGGATGGTTTCATTATTTCTGCCAGCGAATTGCAGGTTTTAACTGGGGAACTGAGATAACCAATTTCATGAGAACTAACCACGAGAACCACAGCAATGGCCTTTTATGATTTGTTGGTCAGAGGGACCAGAAACCTGTGGAAGAAATTAGCCTTGGTGTGGACTCATTTTTGTACAATTTTACTTACGTTAATGTGACAGGATATATTATATTTAAGAACACTAATGTAAAACAAAATGTTTTTAGAACTATGAAAAAAATATGATATATAAATTCATCCAATGTTGTTAGTCCTAATTGGAAACAGGAAAGAAAATAGTCATACTGAGGAATAAAACGGAAAAGGAAAATATATATTTAGATAGAATTTAAAGATAGGAAAAGATAGGATTAGGAGCTGGGGTTGTAGCTCAATGGTAACAGTGTTTGCCTAGCATGTGTGAGGCCCTGGGTTCGATCCTCAACAGCACATTAAAAATAAATAAATAAAATAAAGGTATTGTGTCCATCTACAACTAAAAAAAATTTTTTTTTAAAAAAGAGATAGGATCAAATACACTCTACAAACCTGAAACGGAAAGACTTCCATTTTAATATGGTTTTAATATTAAAAATGGAAGTTGGAGAAAAAATATAATTCTCTCAAAATGGTAAGTTGATAGAATATAGAAATTATACATAGAAATCCTCCAAAATAAATTAAGAGTAAATAATTCTTTCTCCTCAGTGACTCTACTATGAGAGTCTCAAAAAAGAAGGTTTAAAGTAGTCTAAGGATGACCGTGGAACTCTAAGGAGTTAGTTACATCCTTTCTTTTTAAAACTTCATTGGTCCATCAAAATGGTGACTAGATCTTCCAGATTTTTTGGTACAATCACAATTTCCAAACCTTGTTCCTATTTCCCCTGTAAGTTCCTACCTGATAGATAAAATGTTTTGATTTGCAATTGGGAAAATCATGAATATTACATGAGAGAAACTTTTTATCTATATAAACATGCATAGTACATTCTAGAGGCAATTCAGTTCTGTTCTAAGAGGTCAGTGCTGTTTATCCCTGGTGACAGTGATTGGGTGGGGAAGGGCATAGGGAGCCAGGGAGAATTTGTATATTAAATTTGTATATGGTAATGTGTAGCTGTCTTGGCAAAGGCCTTAGGGGGATGACTATGACACAGACATGCTATTGTATTTTGTTAACTGTTAATAACATTTTTTTTTGTTGTTGTTTAGCATCTACTCTTTGGAGAAAGGCCCCTAAATCAACCTGTCAAATAGATAGTAATTTGTAACATTATATTTTAGTTGATGCTTTCATGAACAAAGAGCATCTTTACAGTATGTATAATTGCTCAGATAACAGAAATGCAGCATTGAAAAAAAACTGCAGAGGACATAAGTTATTTTTATTCTCTTGTTTCAGGCATTTTAAAGAGAAGTTTTAGTGCTTCTGGGGGAGAAAGACAATCCCAAATGAGGTATGTACAAGCTGAGCTCCTAGAAGTATTTTTAAACTTTATAGAGCTGAGTGATTGGTGGTTACATTGAAACTGATTGCCAGAAGATACTATGGACTTACAAAAATGGAAACTGTCAGAGCCTGACCTCCCAGAACCAACCCTCCCAGCTTACCAAGGAGCATGCTGGGAAGAGTACTAGGCTTGCACTTGGATTTTAGTCCAGCTCTTCCTTTTTCTAGCTTTGTGACCTTCAGTCACTTAGTCTCCCTGAGCTCATTGTGGGTTCAGGGGTGGGACAGTTGAGTTCCATGAGGCCGTCTGGGACCCTGGCTCTTTTTATCTGGTTCCTCTACATCCCCAAGGTATACATCTCATCCTCATAGCAAGTGTGGCCATGAAAAGGAAAAAGGAATTGGGGGCACATCCTTTCTTTTTAAGAATATGATCAGTTGTTGTGCCCATGACTGTTCACACATAATTTTGGCCAGATTTTTCTTTTTTGACCACATCTAGCTGCAAGGGATGATAGAATATACTTGGGATATTCTTTTTTTAGAGAAATAAATTATTTCAGGACAATTAGTTGTGTCAGTTAACAGTTGTCTTTTGGAGTAAGGACTGAAATAAAACTATTAGATTTGGGCTTTTGCAAGTCCCTGATAACCTTGAGAACAGTCTCAGTGGCATGGGGTAAGGAGGAGGCTGGATTGTTGGTAGTCTTAAAGTTGCAGCAGCAGGAAGTAGAGGCAGTTGAAGAGAGTGAGGAGTAAGCTGGAGAAGTTTGTGGGTGATGTTTGATGAAATAGGACCTCCTACAATCAAGGTAACCTCAGGGTATTTGGAACTGTGCAGAAGAAACCAATGAAGAAGAGATATTCAAATGGGAAAGAAATTAACAGTGTATGGTTACAGAGTAGCTTGGGGTCCAAAGAGTGGGCCTGAAAAACACAGAGGGGAGAGAGGGCAGGCATTTAGATTTCTCTTTGTCTGGAGAGAGAGAGAGAGAGAGAGAGAGAGAGAGAGAGAGAGAGAGAGAGAGAGAGATACAGTTAAGCTGCAGAACTAGAAAAGAGGTGTCTATCTGTTAGAGGATGTTCTAGGCCTCTGCAGAGAGGAGTGTCTAGATTTCAGGAGTCTGGTCCACCAGGAACAACCAACATAGAGCTGAGTAGAGCTAGGTAGAGGGACTGTTAGAGCTGGGGCATTACAAAAGAAAATTATGACATATGGCTGTACTTCCCAGGTAAGAGACTTTTATATTAAAATGGAGATTTCCAATCAGATGAATTCAGAGATCTTGGCAGCACCAAATAATTCTACTCTTATTTTCTAAAGGGACCCAGGGAAAACTACCTTATTAAAAAAAAAAAGAAGAAGAAGAAGAAGAAGAAGAAAGAAATAAAAAGGAATATATGTACCATATATTTAGATTTGAGATGGTTTTTAAAAAGCTAGTCATTAAACATTTTGTAAAAAAAATTGGGTAAACTGAAATCAGCAGGTAGGAGAAGTTCTGTCTGTAGTAGAGATATTGAGACCAGTTTGAGATAAAACTAGGTTCTTTGTTTCTACTTGCAGGTGGGGTTTGTATAAGCTGCAGGCCTCTACAACTGATAAAGGGCCTTTTAGTGCTACTAGCAGCCAATCATGGCAGGGGATGTCTACTGGTGTCAGCTCTGAGGGTTACAGCTGGCAAAGCTGGATTCTTCTTCACTACTATTGAGTGGCATGTTGCAGCTCTCAATGGCAGGATATGCCTACTAGTGTCACAGCAGACACCAGCAGCTCACTGTCAATTTCTTTTTGCTGGGTTCTTGTCTTGCAAATAAAAGACTAAATTTATGGTCAATGGAAGGCAAGAGTGAAAAGAAGTAGGATTTATTCAAGTAGAAAGAACAGAGAGACAGAACTCTCATAGGGTAAAAGGGGACCTGATAGCAGGTTGCCACTTGAGTGTACTAGTGTAGGGGTTTATGTAGCTCTTGGGTCAATGCAATTGGTTCAAGTTTATGATAATCAGGTTTTGGAAAAGTACCAGTGGTATTGGTCCAAATTTATGCTAATTAGGTCTTGGAAAGTACTCTTGCTACTGGTTAACAATTGAGCTGAACTTTCCTCCATTCAGACCTGCCCCCATTTCTGTTTTGCAGCTCATACCCCCAGGCTGGGATGTGCGGGGAGAGGTAGAGGGGTTTGGCACCCTGGCTCACCACTCCTCAGGCCCATGCCAGCATGGCAGGCTCTGCATACATGACCCATGTTCACTGCCTGTGTTCCAGCATGCCCTGAATAAGGGCTTGGCTTCAGTATTACAGAGTGAGCTTTAACTTGGGTTTATGAACATGTTAACAAATGGAAAATGGCCTGTACCCTGAGGTTGAGACTTTGGAAACTATGTTCTGAGGTAGATAAAACATGATGTAACATTTGCATAGCTCTGCCATGTAAGGGCACTTGTGGTATGACATGACATCAGGAAACACAGGCTAGTTTAAGACAAGCTCTCTTCCCTCAAGGAACTCACAGTGTAATGCCAGACAAGGGCAAGGCTGTAGGAGAGCTTATGACAAAAGACAGCCTGTACCTCATGTCAGGGGAGAGGGCAGAAAATTAATAATTTTTTGACTTCCAGGTGATTCTTAAGTCTTCTCTGAATTAAAAGGAGAGATCTCTAAAATGTATTTATAATTTTAAGAAAAACATTAAATAGAGCTAAATTAATTTTCAGTCTAATTTGCTTGGAATTTTCTTGTTTTATTAATGTGAACTCATCCTACAAAACATTTAGAAGCAAAATGATAAATTCAAATATAAAAGAAGATACTAAAGCTATAGAATAGAGTAAAAAAATAAATAAATAGAAAATCGAGCGTGTAGAGGTTTTTTCCGTGTCTATTTTGTGCCATGTAGCAAATAGTGTAACATAATGAGACTTTGGGCAGCTCTCCCTCTTGCAGACTCTTACTGGCTCATAAAAAAAGGGAGTTGGTCCCAGTGAACAGATGTCACAGGAAAGTATATACCTGATCTGAGCACAACTCAGACTTGGCCCTGGCTAAATAGTACAGAGAGAGCGCTTGGGCATAAATTCTTGACTTTGGTCACTCCAGATAGCAGGAGCTAAACTTAAACCAATTAAGAGCTAAAATAACTCCCTAATAACTTGGGATAGGCTTTATTTTGCAAATGAGTCAGGCCAACAGGGTAAAACCTGAGCAAATGGAACTAGAAAGGACAGCTTCTGCCTCCTGAAGGAAATACAGAAGTTTGAAGGCTAGAAAAGGCAAACTCAATATTAGAATTGGAAGGTACCCAAACTTTTTCGGGAATATAATTAACAGTAAGACCAAGAGATGATCACTCCCCAATTTCTTTGAAATTTCTAACTTCAGTCATTTAACAATTTTATTAAAAAATCTTCTGCCTGCATTACTATTTGCCAGGAAAGATTACAAATGGGCTTAACAGTTTTGAGTATGAGCTTTTATGTATAGCTTTATAGACTGATTCTATATATATGTATGCCAGTTCTAATCCAGTAAGTCACATTTTATTTAACTTAAATCATTCTGTAGAGTGAAATTTGATAAGGCACATAAGAATTTCAACCTCTATTAAACTAAAATCCTAGTAATGTCTGGTCATTGTAAAAATTGCCTTCTTAAGAATATTCATCTGAACTGGACATGGTGGTTGGTGCATGCCTATAATCTCAGCTACTTTGAGAGACTGAGACGGGAGGATTGCTTGAGTCCATGAGTTCAAGACCAACTTTGACAACACAGTGAGAATCCATCAAAAAATATTTATTTACTTATTAAAGTGATATTTATTACTATGTATCAAGCATGCTCCAAACTATGTGTAGTTTATCTTTGCATTCCTGAACACAGTATCTTGCATATAGGTACCAGTCCACAAATATTTTTTAATTAATAGATAAATTACTGTGAGGTTTTTTGTTCTTTTTAGTTATACACAACAATAGAATATATTTTGATGTATTTACACAAACATGGAATGCCTCTTATTCTAATTAGAATCCCAGTCTTGTGGTGATACATTATGTAAATATTAACTGTGGTGTATTCGTATATGTACATAGGAAAGTTATGTCTGATTGAGTCCACCATCTTTAACTGTAAAGAACTGAAATCTTCTTTACTGGCTTGGATCTACAGCTTTTGACATAGTCAGAGCTTAAAGCCCATTTTTTTTTTTTTTTAAGATTCGGTTGCTCAGGCAACAAGATTTTTCCATGCCTGCTTGTCTCCTGTTGCCAAGGCAACCCAGGGTATAGTTGGCAAGCTGGTTTGAGACATCAGATGTTTGCAGTACCAGAGATGCCTGTGGTTCACAACTTCTTTGATAAATTGGTGATGCATATTTGTGTTTGAGAGTATGCTTCTGTCTCTAATCTCTGTATATAGAGATGATTATGGTCTTTGTGATCATAAGGCATCAAAGATGCGACCTGAAAGACCCCTGTGCCATCCTAGAACCTGTGATTATTCCCACCTTTAACAGATGTCTTGCTTATTTTTACTTGTGGCTATTTTCTCCTCAGCCCTTTTTCATAATCTGAATCTAGTTTTCCTTTGATGAAATGGATTCTTCTTGATCATGACTTGCTAGAATCAACCTGGCCTACCTGCCAATATCATAGTCCAGCCATCTTCCAAGCAAAACAAAACAAATAAAATGGAAACAAAACAATGCCCCACTTGATTCCTTTCCTGCAACAGTTCTACACTCTGCTGGCATATTGCTCATCTGTTTCTGGCTGTCACTGCAATATGAGTGCAGGGCACAGGAGCATCATACGCTTCCTGGTCCTGATAGCAGTTCTATTAACTTTATAGATAGATGACGGCCCTTATTGAATATGAGAGCTCAACCCTACCTAATGTCACTTATTAACACAAGACATGCTTATGAATGTCACTGCCCAGAAGAGACTTTCAGCTGTAAAATCCTAGTTAGCTCCTCTGGTGTAGTTGCTAGAGCCTCGGAAGGCATATTCTTAATATTGTAAGCCAAGCTTCTCATTTTAAAAGGTTAAAACTTTTTAAATTATTGTCAACATCAAACAGTGTTGACTACTTTTCACAATTTAGTTATGTGATACACTAAAATCCATGTAAAAATATTTTCTTCATTCAGAGATATATTTAAAGAAATTCTTATGGGAGAGACAAGTCTAGAGCTTTATTTCCTTCATAGCCAGGACTTTGGTGACAAAATAATTGGCCCAATAATTCATGCTCTGTTTGAATTAATTCAGTGAATAGTCTATCGAAAATTAAAAACAAAAAAAACAACAACGACAACTCATGTCTGTGTTCTCCACCTTACCCATTAGTGATTTGGGGTGGAAGTTGTAGGCTTATGCTCATTTTTGACATCTCCAGGTTCTCTTTTGACTTATGAATTCTGACAAGGTCACAGCAGATCTGAAGAGTCCTGCAGGTGATGGCCTTTTGGAATCCTTTCAACCTCCGAGGCCCTGAAATCCTTTGGTCAGTCTGAAGTGCTACTGGCTAGCACTCATGTTAAAAACTTTCAGAGGTCACATTCTTCAATATGTTTGGGCCTTTTCACCAAAAAAAATGTCTGGAATGTTTCCTTTGTGTTTTCCAGCTTGAGCTATTATGGGAAGGCCATCCTCTGTGGCCATAATGTTCCAGTGGACATAAACACTCCACATGCTTCCAATCTAGAGAGAGGCCGACTTCCCTCAGGCTCTGCATAATTTCAGTCATTTGTCCATCTGTGGGCAAAAACAATTGCACAGTAGAAGCTGTCACCACTGATCACAATGAATCTGTTCTGTTTTGAAGTTTCAGATGACTATTTTCTTATGGTTAATGATATAGTTTCCAGAGAAATCAATGTATTTTTTTCCGGTTATACCTAATAATCTCTTAAGTTCTAAGACTATGGAGATTGGTTCTTTTTGCCATCCCCTCTCTAGTGTCTAGCACAGTGCCTACTTGGAGTAGGAAGTCAATAACTATTTAGTGAATATTCGAATAAATGAGTAAATGTGTGATATTTCTTTGTAAACATTCACCAAAGTTAATGAAGGAGGAATTTAGAATTATATAAAGGAGTAACAAGGGTGATACAACCTGGCGTTGCCAGGAGGGCCTCGTTCACATATCCTACTATGTATTATATTTTTCAATATGTGCAAGTATATGAAATATTGAATTCTTCAGGAAAACAACAATAGTCATCTAACTCAGTATGTGAGTGGTTACCAGCTTTTCAGGAACACCCATAAACTTGGATAAAAGTTCTCCATAAGTTGGATTTTTTATTCACCTTTTAAGATGATGAGGCCTGTTTTGGGCTACTACTGTAGGGTTAGCAACTATATGGCCTGACTGTAATGTGTATATAAGGACTTCATTCTATGGAAGCATCAGTGTTAAATATGGAGAGTGCTGGGCACCTGTGACTGACTCTTGAACAGTTGAAATGTGGCTGGCATAACCAAGGAACTAAATTTTCTAGTTTCACTTAATATTATTTTAAATGTAAAACCATGTAAAAGGTCATTTATTTTTACATGTTAAAATGATAATATTCTGGGAAATATTTGATTAAATAAAATTGTAAAATCAATTTCACTTTATTTATTTATTTTACTTTTTAATAATGTGGCTACCAGAAAAAAATTTAAATTATGTTTGTGGCTTACATTATATTTTTATTGGGCAGTGCTGGACCCATCCAGAAGGCTAGGAGATAATGGTAACCCAAAAGCATTTTCTGGGCTCTGTTGCGTGTTCAAGGATGTGAGGAAGCCAAAGCAAATGCTCAACTCTTTAGCCCAGCCCCGAGGCTACCCACCCACATGGGGGCGCTCCTATGAACCTCCCTCTTTTGAACTCTCAGAGAGCTTGTCCATTCCTTTCTCTCTTTAAACATATTTCTTATCAGAGGTCTATGGAAAATATATTAACACTCCCAAACTGGCGAGTTTCATTATATTTCAAGGCTCTGGAAACTTGGGCTGGGAATAGGAAAAAAAGAAAAAAAATATATATATATATATATATATATATATATATATATATGAGATCAAGAGAGGGGCTGGCTTGGTGAGAGTCAAGGGGGTAGAATGGGATAGAGAAGGAACTCAGAGGTGGATACAAAGAATTTGGTATTGTTCTAGTACTTAAGTGGTATGAGTGAAATTTTGTTAAAAATTTAGGCATAAGTTGCATACAGGTATAGAAAATTTGATGATTAAAATGAAAGAATTGGGGCAAGAGAATTATCAGTCATGTTTGCTTGTATTTGAATCCTAATATTCACTCCTATTGAGAAAATACCTTCCTGTGCCTCATAGATGTTCAATATATTTTTTTATTGGATTGCATTACATCAAAGTATAGTTCTTGTAGCTTGTCAGGGCACAGATGTTTCTCATTTCATTACAAAAAACAATTATGAAACTGGCTGTAGGTTATAGTGGGAAAATATAAGACTGGAGATTAGGAGGAAGGCCTGACACCAAATTTCTAAATGATCAGGCAGTCTAGAATTTAGAGGCAAGAAAATCAAGGGATATGAACAGCACTGGAAACTCTAAGAAAAATGTAACCCTTTTAAATGAAAAAAATCATCTCATGTCAACGGAAGACTTATAGGTTTCTTTTCTTTTTTTCCTTCGAAGACTACAGAAACCAATCATGGAAAATCCAACATATAACATTTAAATATTTTTTAGAGTTTTGATCTTAAGTGTAATAAGAAAATCACACAGGGCATGAAGATTTATATTCTTAATTGTACTTAAAACTTATAAGCAGCCCTGGTAAGACAAGAGTTCTTCCATCTCTACCTGTTTGCATGTCCATTCTGTTCTGCGTTAGAATTTGTTTATTTCCCTTAACCTCTTGAGAGTGTCTTCAAGGAGAAAAGCATGCACTTAGATTTATAATGTAGACCACAGCAGAGTAGGCCAACAGCAAATGTTTGTCAAGTCCAAGTCGAAAGAGTCATTCTAATGGCCTCTACTTTGGTTTCCAGGGACTTCATTGGAGGAATAGGATCAAGACCAAGACCAGGTAACTTAGTGTTGGTAGTAATAGAATGCAACATACCTTCCTGAAATTCAGTGTGATTTATGTTACAGTTTCATACCTTTCCCCCTTTTATTTCTTCAGCTTTGCTGCCTCTTGACCTGCTTCTGAAAGTGCCACCCCTCATGCTCAGGGCCCACGTTAAGGAACTAGAGGCCAAGTTAGGGACAGGGTGGCAGTCCCACAGCCTTCCTGCTGTGATTCTTCGAAATCTCAAAGATCATGGTAGTACTCCTTAGAACACATTAATGTTAAGTACAGAATGGGTGAACACAGAATTATAGTTGGGCCTGAAACCTCTGGTGGACATTTGAGGGGTAATTTTAATACAAATAGCAGGAGAATTCTGTTTGGTTTTCCACCATTATTGCAATTTGATGTTAACAAAATGCTTTCTGTGTTCACTTATTGACTAAAATATTATAGGCTCTTTTTCCAAAATTTGCATTTCTACCTTGGTGGGAATGTTAACCAGTTAAGCTATTGATGCTTAAGTGTGTACCTACTAACAAAAAATAGTAACTGTGTTTCATGTAGGTATTTCTGTAAACTCTATGCCTACATGATCCAAAGTGTGAATACTTTTTTTTTCTTTCTTCTTTTTTTTTTTCACTCTGGTTCATAAAATTATTTTTCTTTGTATTTGATTAAAATGATATTTTATTATATTATTTCTCTAATTTGTAAAGTATGGATCCTTAAACATAAAAGTTTATAATGTTGGTTTGGGAAGGAATGGATGTGTTAATTAATCTGTTTCTAATTTCTTTGAGAGACACAGAGTCCAACAGTAACAGTAAAATTATTAGCTAATCCTGGACAATTCAGAAAAAAAAAATCCCTAGTGATTGTGGTTTAATATTTGTGAATGTTCGACTCTTGAGTATAAAGTTCTATTTGACTATTTTGTGAGATTATTGTTTAATGCTGTGCTCACTTTAGCTTCTTTTTGATTCACAATATTTTGTGCAGTTGATGTGTATGGTGAACATAGATGATGTGAATAGATTCACTGTAATCTTGGACCATGCTTAGTAGACGTTTGTTAAATTTTCCTTGAAAGAGTGATTGACAGTGTGAGGTCATTACAGTGTCAGCATAGATGCAAAACAAGATGGCTTTATTATTGAGATGCCTAAACTACCATGTTGACCATGGCTCTGTTCCTGATGTGTTGGCAAAGGTAAGTTAATAATGTAATCATGAAGCTAAAATGATTGTTGTTGACTGATTCTAAAGTGGCAAGTGTGAGACACACATATGTGTTAACACTTCATGGTTCTGTTCTAATTAATAATAGGAATTCTTTTTATTGAAGGGCATATTGAGTTGGACCAGTGTAAGGCTTGATTTTATGTCAGTGATATTGATCAGATCTCTGGATCTTTAGCAAACTATTTATATTATGGCACAGTTTACATATATCCTTTATTCTTACACTTTGTTGTACCTTCTAATTTTAAAAAAGTCACTAATTTATATAATTTAAAATATGAATCAGAAAACACTAAATCAACTGGCATCTTCAGTGCCAGTGAATGCTACCTCTGACCTATAAAACAAGTTAACAGTTTTTCCAATATTGTTGAGCACATTATTGCACTGGAGAAAATTTGGGTTGCCACTCAGATTTTGTGAGTATTCACATTTTTGAGTCAAACACTAGACCTTCATTTTTCTCCATCTTAATACAGAATTATTTTTCTGTATATTACTAAAGTCGTACTTTTTAAAGTGTTGTAGGTAAATTCAAACTATTAGTTGTTTTTTTTTTTTTGAGAAGAGAGAGGAGAGAGAGAGAGAGAGAGAGAGAGAGAGAGAGAGAGAATTTTTTTAATATTTATTTTTTAGTTTTCAGTGGACACAACATCTTTGTTTGTATGTGGTGCTGAGGATCGAACCCGGGCTGCACGCATACCAGGCATGCACGCTACCGCTTGAGCCACATCCCCAGCCCCTATTAGCTGTTTTTATCAAATTTTCTAATAACTGGTACCAGCCCCAGTGACTTGGGTCACCTTATCTGCAAGTCATGCTTTTTTCTAGTCATTCCCTGGGTACTTCTGGCCTCAGAGTGTAAAGAGGGGACATTGACACTGTACTCTAACAACAGGGAAGTGAGTCTGGACCAAGGTGTCAGGAGATCACTTGTGAGTCACCTTAACAACTTGTTACTAAGAGTGGGTAAAGCACTGATGTGTTAATGTTTTATTTTTTTTAAGGCACATTATATTGGTGTGTTTTTAAATTTTTATTTACCATTTCATTTAGTTTTCTTGGATGGAAAGGAACATAATCAACATCTACAACCCTGTAGATGTTATTTTGCCTAATTAAAAAAAAAGGCGGGAAGGGAGAATTTTGTATGAGTGTGATATTGATTTTTCTAGTATGTGAACATTATTTTCCATGTGCTATGGCAGAACCACAGGTAAGAAGCATTATTTTAGAGTTCCAAGTGGGCTGTGTTATAATATGGTCTTTCCCGTATGGAACTTATGGATTTTTAGGTTCATAGTGTGATGATACAGCAGTATTTAAAATTACCTCCAAACCTCTGTGGAACATAACCATGAAACTATTTCAAGTTACTTTTATTAAAAGTCCTCTTGTTCTATCTTCTAATACAAACAAATTGTATCAATAATTTATACACATTTGGGGGGTTAAATACTAGGTTGTAGTTCCCTGCCAACAGAAATGAAAATTTAGGAATTCCATATTGCATCATTGAAAATATTAACGTTATTAACATGGACTCAATGAATGGAGATATATATATATATATATATATATATATTTTTTTTTTTTTTTTTTTTTTTTTGGCGGGGGTGGTTTTGTGGATTCAATCCAGGGCCTTATGCATGCAAGGCAGGCACTCTACCAAGTGAGCTATATCCCCAGCCCCAGATAAATATATTTAATATGTTTATTTTAGCTCTCTTTCCCTAATCTTTGTCACTTGTGAATTACCATTGGCCACAGTTAGCCTTATCTGAGTACCATGTGTGTTACTATTTTCTGAATATTGTTCTTAAACTGACTCACTTTCTCAAACTTACTTGCAGGGGAAGTTGATATTATTTCTGTAAATGAGAAACCAGGAAGATATACTTGCCGTAAATAAATGGAAGTTCTAAACATAAATAAAGATCCAAGAAAAACAACATTAAATTCTAATTAGATATTGTTATGTCCTTATCTTGTGGTCTATGGTCTTTGTTATGAAAGAGCATTAGCTAATATTTAAGAATGATGAGGATAGAGTTATACCATACTAAAACTTAAACCTTGATATAATCAGTGGAAAGAAAAAAATGGGAAAAGATATACCTTTTTAACTACATTTATTTCAAATTTGATATACCTAATATTAGTTCCTGATGGCTTAGGGAATTCAGTTCTTTAAAAACAGATTGATTCTTTTATTTCTAGAGTCAAAGCAATTAATCAAACCACTATCTATTACTGAACATTTTGCACAGCCAAAAAGTCCAGGGTCTGTTGTCTTTATTCAAAAAAAGTTTTCTCTTGAAGCAAAGGAAATGACATATTTGTGAAAATTTAATAATGTCAAAACAACTCAGGAAATGTATTCTTTGTCATGTACTTGGGGCACACTGTAATGTTATGGATATGTTTAGCATAAGTTAAATGTAAATTCTGGGGTGTATGTATCAAACCCAAATTTTAAGGTGCAAATGTAATGTCAAGAGTGTGGCCTAATTTGACTGAATTAACACTGGCAGTTTTTCCTCTCTTGCTCAGTTTTTCATTTAGACAGTATCTGACACCCAGACATTGAACTGATGTATGGAGATTCTTATGAATAGAAACTGTCACATCACGATTTCTGAGCTCTTAATTTTTTTCCCCCTAGATAACTATGAATCTATTTTTACATTTGTCTTTTGTTCATAAAGGTCAGATATAAATAAAGTAGTCAACATCTCATCCAAATATTCTAGAGAGCACAGCTAATATTCTAGTTGTCTTTATACAAGCAACCCTTAGTAGCTTGCTTTCATTGACACACAGTATGTAAAAGGGATTTTCACAATTGCCAGTGTGATTTTGAATCCATGTTTTACCTTATTTTATCTCACAGAAACATTTTTAGCATGTAAAAATTAGCTCACTAGATCTTAGTCAAATCTCTTATAATACTAGTCTATGCTATATAACTTGGTGTACAATTATGTTTATATTTTTGTTTGATTTATAGTATGTTATATATGTTTCCCAACTAGATTATGGGCATCTTCAGTAAAATTTTACATACATAAATAGTGGTGTGTGTGTGTGTGTTTGTGTGTGTGTTTTGATATCTTGATACACGCCTTAAGTGGGTTCTCTGAGGTCAGGCCCTTGCAAAGTACTTATTCGGTAACTGATACAGATCCAGCATGTATTTAGCTCTTGTTTATCCTTGCTATTTTATTGAGACCAACTGCATAAGTAGTTTGAAAGAACATTATTTTTTTACATCGAACTTTTAAATACATGCTGATCATCTTTAATCTGAAAATCCAAAATCTGAAATAATCCCCAAACTGAAATTTTTAAAGTGCTGACATGTGAAAAATTCACACGAGTTCATGTGATGAGTTGCAATCACAATATCCATGCAATAAAAATATCGTGTAGTATTACCTTCATGCTATGGGCATAAGGCATATATAAAACATAAATGAATTTTGGTTTAGGACTTGGATCTCTTCTCCAAGATGTCTCATGATGTATATGCAAATATACCAAATTGTGAAGCAATCTGAAATTCAAAACACTTCTCTTTCCAAGCATTTCAAATAAAGGCTATTCAACCTGTATTATGGTTTTTTTTTTTTTTTTAATATTAGACTTTAGATTGAAATAGGAGTAGAAGGTACAAATTTCCTTTATCAATGATGCTTTGCTTCCTAATTCTTTATGCCAACGGAGGCACTGAGGAAATGCACACCAGGTCCCACCAGGATGCTTCCTGGAGATGCAGATTTTTTTCGTGATCTTTGCAGGGCCGTGTCATTTTAATGAGATGCTCAGTCTGACAGAAATTATTGATGGCCTCAATCTGAGACAAGTGCCAGCTGGAATCAGCTGTAAAATGGCAGCTCACACTGCTGCCCTCAGGGTTTCTGCTGGGAGCAAAGGCTAAAGAAAGGAAGGGTTGAAAGGCACACCACTCTCTGGCAGCAATGAAGGGAGGTCACTGTGACTTGGGTAAT